TTCTGGTTAGCAGTCAAGTGCCTTAGCCACTATGCTACCAAAGACTAGTGGGCTTTAAATCAGAGGAACTAGGTTTGAGTCCTGGTTGAGTCACTGGTTGACTGATTGAGCACCTCTCTGTACTTCAGTTTATCATGTATAAATATTCATATATGAATATTCATTCATTCAAGGTTAATTGGGAATGAAATATATTCCAAAAACTTTAGTAGGTTAGAAGGGTTTCTACCTCCAGGAAGCTTTCTTCTATATTGTGCAAGATATGGGAAGAGATAGACTTATAAATAAATAATGCAAAAATGGCCCTTTTAGTGCTGACAGCACTATATGCTGGATATTGGACAGACAGAAGAGGAAGAGGTCAATTCTACCAAGGACCCTAGAAAGACTTGATAATGGAGATCGTACTTGAAAAAATGTTAGTAATTTAGATAGGCAGAGCTTGGATGCAGTGATCATAAAAATGCTGAGTAGCAAAGTGCCTTTCAAAGGTTTTATTGCAGAATAAAGAAGGACAAAAATCAGTTTTGATTTGTTAGCTACTTCATCTGAAATAAATTTCAATTTTGGGCTTAGGGTGACTACTTTTACATTCAATGAGTTGGCAAGTACAGTTTAAGAGGCAGATTTTGCAGGAGAGATCATATGTTTGAGTCTGAGCATTTTAACTTTAAAGTGTCAGCAGAGTTATATCAAGAGACAATTCTGTATACGGAACTGCAGCTCTGGAAGGAGGTCTGAGTTGAATGTAATAAGGTCTAATGAACATGAAGAAAGCAAAAGATCATTAGAAAGACAGAAAAGAAATAAAAGACCAAAATGAATGTCAGAAGACACTCTGAAACTTGCTCTTGAATGTAGAGTAGTTAAAAGAAATTGAAGAAAATAATGAAGTAAGAGTTGACCAGAAGATTCCAAAGGATGGCTCAAAAAGACAAAGTAAAGGATTATCATGAAATATGCAAAGGGAAGAACGTACTTGGCATTTCCCAAGCTGAGAAAACTGAAGAAAAAATTCAAGCCTCAAGTTATAATACTGAAAGATTCTATGGGCAAAATATTAAACTATACGGAAA